CCCATCCCATCCCATCCCATCCCATCCCACCCCATTCCCAGCATTCCCACCCCATCCCTGCCGCACCGACCTGCCGGTGCAGGTACCGGTGCTCGTATTCTCGCAGGGGTATCCCATCCAGCAGCACCTCCCCGCTCCCAGGATCCCGCAGCCGCTCCAGCAGCACCACAGCCGTGCTCTTCCCGCTCCTGTTGGGCTCCACCAGCACCGTCACCTCCCTGGGATGCAGCTCCAGGGACACATCCTGTGGGATCAGGAAAGGCTGACGCTGCAATTCCCACTCCTGGGAATGCCCACTACCCCCCAGGATACCCTCAAAGGACACATCCTGTGGGATAGGAATGGCTGACACCGCAATTCCCACCCCTGGAAATCCCCACCCTCCCCAGGATACCCCCATCCTGGGGGATGGGGACGGCTGACACTGCAATTCTCACCCCTGGGAATCTCCACCCTCCCCACCCCAGACCCACCCTCAGCACGAGGCGCTCAGGATTTCCGGGATAGGTGAAGGAGACCCTCTGGAAGGCAACATGGCCCTGGAGCTGGGGGGGCTCCAGCATTCCCCCAATGTACCTGGCAGGTTTCTGATCCAGGTATTCCCAGATTTTCTGCCCGGCAGCCATGTTGGCAGTGAACTCGTTGAAGCCACAGAGCAGCACCTGGGGGGAGGGGAGGGCAGGAGGTGGCACTGGCAGGGATTGGGAACGGGGTATGGATGGACAGACACGTGGATCCTGCGGGATCACCTTGATGTGGTGGTCGACTGTGTCCTGGTACAGCAGGGAGGTGACGAGCACCCCAGGAGTGATGGATCCATCTCGGAGCTGCTGGTGGCTCTGGAAGAGCACCAGGACCCAGATGGCCAGCTGGAGCATCTGCAGGTGGGAACACAGATACTGGTGTCCCCATTCCTGCTCCTGGTGTCCCCATCCCAGTCCTGGTGTCCCCATTCCTGCTCCTGGTGTCCCCATCCCAGTCCTGGTGTCCCCAGTCCCACTCCTGGTGTCCCCATTCCCACTGTCTCCCTAACTCCTCTTGGTATCCCTATCCCTGTCCCCACTCCCCCCACTTCCTTTCCTGGTGTCCCCATTCCTGCTCCTGGTGTCCCCATCCCAGTCCCAGTGTCCCTATTCCCACTCCTGGTGTCCCCATTCCCGCTCCTGGTGTCCCCATCCCAGTCTCGGTATCCCCATCGCAGTCCCGGTGTCCCCAGCCCGGTTCTGGTGTCCCCATTCCCATTTTCTCCATGACTGCTCTTGGTACCCCCATCCCTGTTCCCACTGCCCCCACTTCCTTTCCTGGTGTCCCCATTCCTGATCCTGGTGTTCCCATCCCTTGTCCCAGAGTCCCCATCCTGCTGCTGGTGTTGGCATTCCCATTCCCGGTGTCCCCATCCCTGATCCCAGTGTGCCTGTTCAGATCTTCCCACTCCCATTCCTAGTGTCCCCATCCCTGATCCCGATGTCCCCATCCCAGTGTCCCCACCCTGCTCCCAGCGCCCCAATCCCAGCGGTGTCCCCATTCCCGGTGTTGCCACTCCTGTTTTCCCCTGACCCTCTGGATGAGGGTGAATCCCGCCAGCTCCAGCTTCATCCACTCCTTCAGCCTCAGCTCCTCGTCCAGGTTCCGGCTGTGCCGCTCGTCCTCCTCCTCCTCTGCCAGGAAGATCCAGATTGTCTCCAGGGCGGCGATGGATTCCTGCACCCCCGAGGCCGTCCGGGTGGATGCTTCCAGCATGGATCGCTGCAGAGCCTATGGAGCCACGAGGGGATTCCCAGCTTTCCCAGACTACCCTCCTGGACCACCATCCCCATCCCATCCCCACCATTCCCATCCCCACCATTCCCATCCCATCCCATCCCATCCCATCCCATCCCATCCCATCCCATCCCATCCCATCCCATCCCATCCCATCCCATCCCATCCCATCCCACCATCCTGTCCCATCTCCATGGCCTCATCCCACCACTCCCAAATCCACCAATTCCATGCAGTCCCTTCCCAGTTATCCCCATCCTGTCTTCACTGGCCTATTCCCTGACACACACCCCATTCCGCCATCTCATCCTATTCCACCCCATCCCTCTGTCCCCATCCCACCCTTCCATCCTGTCCCCATTCCAGCACTCCCACCATCCCATTCCATCCCATCCCATCCCATCCCATCCCATCCCATCCCATCCCATCCC